ATTTTGTTATAAAAAATAATAATAATAATAATAATAATAATAATAATAATAAATAAATAAATAAATTATAACCGATCGATAGTAATCGTCTCGTAATATTCTGAAAATTATATTAATATTAATATAATCTTTGGAAATGAAAAAAATTGTCATAGATCAAGGACGGGGATTTGTTTTTAAATAAAAAAGGTTATATCCATTTTCTAAAATACTGGAAAAGCTGCATTGATCTTTCGATCATCGATCTTTTCGAAGTAAAACATACTGATTTACAATATTCTTATAGTAATACATTATTCATCTGCATTTTATACCAACATAAAAAATGCCGCTAGTTCCCCATCTCTGTCATAGAGATTGTACGGAAAGTTATGTATTTAATTATATTATTTGGATTTTTTAAATTAAATCTAGAAGAAGAAGCTAAAAATAAAGATAATGCGATAAACTATAGTCAGTAAATTTTGTTCCAAATACGTATATACGACGCTAATGCTCAGAGATTATTATTATTAATAATATTATTTAAGTAATTAATTAAAGATCGTCGATATATATATGTAATTTTTTTCTTTTATCACATAAGTATGTATGCGACACACATCATGATAATCATGTTCATTACATGTCACGTGTGTGTACGGAAGTGCGCGCGTATTTATGCGCCTGCATAAATATATATATGTATATACATACATATTAGATCATTAAGCATGAAACGTTCGATCACTCCGATTACTTTCAATTTGAAATCGGACATTTCGTACTTAATGATTTAAAATATATATGTGTACATATGTTAACGTGAAAAACTGAGATGGGAAAATGTCAAGATTCACATAGTTGCTTGGTGTATGTCGAAATATTAATGTTTAAGAATAATCCCAAATATTCGGTCTTTCACCAACATATTTGGAATGTGTTAACCATTTGAATCTTACCATTCTGCAATTTCGATCTTTCACGGTAACATATACATATATATGTGAATACAATGTAATCATAAATCGAAACGAATAGTGTACAATAAAATTTTTGTGAGGTTGTTAAATAACACTAGAAGAGATATTAAAACGATATATATGTATAAATATAGGTAGATTTGTTGATAATCGTACTATAATAATTATAATAAAATAACAAAATCTATATATATATATATATATATATATATATATANNAAAAAGATATTTAGTTATAGAAAAAACGCTAAAAGATATTGTCAAGTATAATAAAACGTGTTAATAAAAAACACTATTATAAATCATAATAACAAGAAATAATCATAATTTTAACGGAAGATTGCGTAATTGTGTAAAAAATAAAAAGTAACACATGCATATTAGAGATTTTTAGAAAGTCAATTTTATATGCCGATAATATAACGCGCGTGACAGAACATTTAAATGGAAAAATGAAAAAAAAAAAGGAATAACAAAATAAGAATAATAAGAAAAAGATCGATATTCGGAAACATAGGGTTATCATCCTGTTTTTCTTGGTGCATTTTATATATGGAAACGAATAATAAATAGTTGTAATTATACCTCGAAAATAGTGATTATTTCCGTACTACTACTACTACTATTCTACTACTATTACTGCTACTACTAAATGCATACGTAATTTACAAGTGAGCTTTTATATATATATCAAAATTTTTATATTACCAAAAAAAAAGTGAAATATTTTATAGATAATATTTGTATATGACGCTTTCTATTTCGTGCTTTTCGTATACACAAATAGAACTATTTTTTGGTTAAAATAAATCCGGTAAAAAGTATAATAATAGCATTTTATATTAAACGTATCAACAACGTTTCCGCGTAACGCTCATTTTAATTGTTTTATTTTAGTCTACGCGTATATATATATATATATATATATATTGAATTAATCCGTTCTGTTATGTATAAAATAATTATATTATAGTAACATTGTCTTTGGTAGCAATCAATATTGCATAATGATTGGATAAATATTAAGTTTGATCGGTAAAACAGAGTCGAGTGCTTATAGCTAGCATTAAAATAAAACATTTATTTAGAATTATTTTTATGTAGATGAATAAGAAATTTTCGAAAAATTATTTTCAAATTATTTATTTATTTTCTTTTATAATTAATTATGTGTTTTTAAATAGCCGTGAAAGAAAGCCTATTCAAACGCAATGAAGTATTTCTATCGAGCGTGTACATTCGCGATTATATTAGTTACGTTCCTTTCACGTAAATTTCTTTATATTTTTTGTAACCGTAATACATTTAGAAAAAATACACTCAATACGATTTAATCAATTATAAACCATTAATTTTATCAATTAGCAATCCGCAAAAAAAGAAAAGAAAGAAATTTTGTATAAAATCCATCAAACGCATTAGAAGAATTTTCCATACGCATGATGAAGCGTGTCATAACGTCGATCGTAATCGATGACATAACTCGTGCCGCCGTTTTCGTAATTGAGGTGCAATCAACTGGAGAAGGTTTTCTCAAAAATGAAAAGGAAAGAAATGTAACGAAAAGAAAAATTAATGATTAATTATCAAGAGATCGTAATAAAATTTGAAGGAAACAAAAGTGGATAAAAGACAAAAATAGGAAAGTGCGTGTACGACCTCGTTTTGTAATAGTATAATCATTGGAATTTACGAAAAGAACCAAAAGTGAAAAGGAGGAAGAGGTGGGAGGAGAGAGAAATGAGGAGAATGTTGCACGATCGGTGCAACGAAATAATAAAGAGAGAGGCAAATACGAAGGAATGATCGTGGTAGCGACCATGGTGACTGCAATGTGACCGGTGTACCACGTGACCATTTGGACCAATCGGCTCTTAGTAAGAACTGGCGGTCACGTTGCGTTCGGCGTGGCAAAAGCTTTCCCCTTTCCCTCTGCACGCTGTTTCCCTTATCCCGCTTGCAAGCAGTAAGTGCTAGGCAAAGCATAAGCATCATTCTCCACGAATACCATGGTACACTTTTACTTTTTTCTCCTACATTTTTCTCTTTTTTTTTATCTCTCACTTTTACGATCATGTTCGATATAATTCTCGAACGCGACAAAACAAACCATACGAAAAGTTTCGAGAAAATCATTTCTAAGTGTCCGTGCATTAACATTTAAATCTTCGTTATTTATATTTATAGTGTCTCATTTGTTGTACAGTGCTAATTCTAATTATTGCGAAGAAATTGTTTCTTTATCGGAAATCGTACTGGAAACGATAACAGGAATACGATTTTTCATTCCTGACGACGTAAGATTTGTGTGTTTCTCTCTGTCGTATGATAGGTGAATGACATAAAGAAAGATCGTTAGAATTTCGCGCCTCTTTCGGTAAGTTTATTTTTTCTTGTTTTATTATTTCTTTTTGTACTTTATTTTTATTCAATCCTATTGCGTTAACGAGCTTGAAAAATTAATTATTATCTTGAAATGTCTACAAAATAGATTTGCGATATATGCGTACTTACTGTGTTTGACATATATACATACATGTATACATGTATAACATGGATATTGCATTCTGTTTTGTCGAGAGAAATGCGCGCGATAATTCGACGTATGAAGCGTGCAGTTTTACTCGGTCGGTAATGAAGTTTATTCTCGATGAATTCTTTGTCGATGATTACAGAATATTATATGTTATCTTATTGACTTTTTTTCACAAAATCGCAAAAAGAGAATAAACGCAATATTTTTTTTCTCTCTCTTTTATTAAATTAATATAAAGACAAAAATAATTAATTTTCTTTTATTAAATATACTTGACATCCCTCCTTGATTGAACAATCTTTATTTGAAGTATTACGATCTGTCATATGATCCACAATAAGTGTATATGTAATTTAAATTTAAATATATTTTTTTCTTTGTCCTACGTCTAACTGATATTCTCGTCAATTCTATTATTATTCCTTTGCTCTGCATTAATTCGTAAAA